AAGGCTGATTTACACGGCACGATTGTCTCGTGCGATTTGTAGTATACGACTTGAATCACGCAGTGTAAATGCCCCTACGACTTGTCTACTACAGTCGTACGCAACCTACGACTTGTAGTAGGTTTTGAACCACTGCTTAAAATCCTACGACTTGTAGTAGGAAAATCGTATACTTCAAGTCGCGCGCGACAAATCGTACCGTGTAAATCAGCCTTTAGGGAAGCGGAGTTAGAATTGTAGCCTAAAACAGAAGGTTGAATTAGCATTTTTAAACAATAGTGTCAATTACAGCTTGAATTTGATTATTTCGGCACAAAAGCGGTATCCGCTGGATAAAGGAACAAAGAAACAATGGCAACAATGAATGACTAGTTAATAACGTCACACCCACGCCGTATACGTTGCGTCGGCAGCTATTTTTGTCCCCTATTTTGGATTTATTAATGTGAGCTGTTTTCTCTTTTTGCTCCGACGAACAAAGTCCTATTGGCCAGCGAGCTTTTTCAATGAATACTTATCCTGAGGTGATCACAAGTATTTTTAAAGAGAATGTTCTTTTCGTCTCATTTAATCAAATCCTCGTTGAAGATGTAACTGGCCCTAGGTGCAATTGTTCGATGTGCTTTGCAGTCTTTGATGTACGTTCAGCCAGTAAAGATATGAGTATTTTAGTATTATATAACTAGTGGACTATTGCAAATCCCTCGTTCTGATTTGCTACGCTACTCGGGGTCTATTTTCAATAGCCATCGACTAGCGAAAAGCAACAACTTTTTGCGTATTTTTAGCAATAAAAAGATTTATTTATTTATATATTTTATTCACCGAGATATTGAGCTTTAGTCTCTACCACTTTTATTAACTTAAGTTCCTAACGTGGCACGTTGTCTTGGGTATAATGTCCAATCGTGTTGTGTTACAAAACGCAATGTTATATCGTTATACACATTGAATCATGTTTTGTCTATATTCAAGGCAGCTCAAGGTCTCTACGCACATGTAAGTCAATCATACGAGAAGCACAAGGTGGACATGCAAAAACATGTTACCGCATAAATCTAACAGTCTCAGATTTACCGGAAAAAAATATGACTGTAACAATGAGTCATTATTGTTGGGTCAAACGTATATTAAAGACCCATGCACAAGTACGTCCACGACTATAAAAAAAACTCAGCTTGGGTTTAGTAATTTCTATTCGATGCTTTGCAATAATTATGGAATTCTGTGCTCGACCTGACATGACCACACGCAATTACAGCAGAAAAACACGTCAAACAGCACCCAAAAAGTTTTTCAAGGTGGCCTCTTCGAACAAATTCGAAATTAAGTTGTTTTCAGTATAAATTTTAATTTTCCCGCCATAGAAGCTGCCTTTTTAGTGTTTCGGTCCCGATTTCGAATTTAGAACGGCGTCTTCGCATATAAAAACGTTGATTACGAGTTTCTTTTGAAGTTTCCGTTATGTTGATTTGATAAAAGATTGAGCTATATATGTGTTAGCTCTGACAATAGAAAGGGAGATATTTTAACTAGCATTATGTAATTGGAAATTCAAACAATAGAACAATACCAATTACAGGCCCTTTGNGGAAAACCGGAGAACCCGGAGAAAAACCCTCGTGGCAAGGGAGAGAACAACACATCAAACAAACTCAAAATCACATATGGTTCATGCCCGGGAATCGAACCCGGACCACAGCGGTGACAGTCCAGAAGCTTAACCAATAGCCACCCGTGCCACCCACGAATCAACCTGTTGCAGACTATATACCAAATCAAAAACATAACACTTGAATAACGAAGCAATTTAATACCAGTGGGTCGGCAAGAAAGTCCCGTTGAGAAGAATGTCTGCCATAGCAAATCTAAAATCCGTGTTACAGGAATATAAACCACCAGAATGGGCTGCACATCTGAAAAACCTGCCTCACTACAAAGTCAAAGTAAGCTCAAGCTATATAATCCCGGTTGTCATTGTAAGACAAGCTAAAATGTCAAAACACAAAACGCGATAGACACGCTAAAATTTCAATGCACAAAATGCGATAGACAGATTCCATCCCGATTGAAACGTACAATACTAATTTTGGACTTTTATTAATGCACCAATTCATAAGAATGAGCGAAAACTATTGACTAGCTCGTCTTCAATATGATACATAGAACTACATCCCAAATTCACGTTCATTCTGTTGAACGTGTGGAAGTGTTTAGTTTTGTGTTCATTTTCATGCTGGAAAGTGACGACTCAATTTATTTCCTTATCACCATATCTGAAGATGTGAGTTTTTGAATACTTATAACTTTTAAGTTTTCTTTGAAATGTTCAGTCCTTATTTTGATTTCGAAAGACCTTGAAAATCTCATGTTGTGTAAGTATCTTGAAAGTTTTTACGGATTGTCGAAAAGGCTTAATAAAGCGAATTTGATATCCATAAAGTTCCTGGTTTGGCATGATGCTTGTGAAAGACAGAGGAACAAAGTTAAACTTTAGATACTTACACAACATGAGAACTTAGTTTAAGTTAAAAAAGTTAAAAAAGCCAACAGGGTCAAGACGTAGATCTTTTCTCGCGTCTAAAGTGAAGAAAAGTATATTTGTTAATGTTTTTATATCATATTTGTCGTATAATTTCAGGGGCGGATCTATCTAGCATAATTTTGCAGACTAGTTTTCCAACAAAATGTTGTATTGACATATGCTAATTAATTATTTAACTAACTAAAAAATGATGCGATTTTATTGTTCAAACATACACAAAAAGACGGCAATGCGCGGTAGCTACGCTAGCTACCGAATTCCAGGAATTCCAGTATTTCGAATTTAAATAAATCAATTCCTATAACTGTAAAATGTGTACCTTATTCGGTTCAAGTGTTTGCAGTGTTTTGAATCATCTTGCAATTTTCAATACATACCAAGGATCACCAAGCACGAAGAATCTTCACAGAGGGTCCTGAAGGGGGGAATTATAATACAATTTTTCAATCCCATTCACATTTTCTGCTGTTTTTGTAATTTTAAATCCCATTCCCTGTGCATTATATCCCATTTCCCAAGTCCAAAATGAAGCTAATCCCAGTCCCCTTCAGGACCCTCTTCAGGACCCTCATCACTCGGCGATTCCAATGTATGGGAATTTCCTTGAACGGTTTCACGAGTGGTTTGACCGTATTCCGACCCGACACAAAAATAACAGATCCAAACAGTGTTGATAGCAATTCTGATCTCGATCAAAATTGTCACAGGTATTAAATTATTTCGAACCCGCTCCCTCCCCCTCCCCCCAGGTTTTCTGTGTGAACAGCTTTGATCACGAAAACTTGTCAGGATACCTGTGTGAATCACCTAGCAGCTTTAATGTGGGTTTCCTGTGGTAAGATTCTCAAAATGGCGGCTAGAACATGGCTAGAACGATCSTATTGCAAATTACACGGTAAAATACTCTCTAATTCTTTCCGTGTGTGTAATTTTATTTGAATTGTCGCTTTTTATTATATTTTTGGGAAAAATCTGACTAGGTGAACCAGCCTAAATATTTGGTAGATATTATTTTGCATGGCCTTATAGTCTACCGRGATAGTCTAAACTTGGAGGCCCACGCACGTGTAGTTTTCAACAAGGGATCAAAGTTCTTGGAGGCACGTGGGACTTTACCGTAGTCTAGTACTTTTCCACTGGACTTCATGGTCCAGTGAATGCGAATGAAATCATCTGATCTTTTGTTTACCACATGCAAGAAGCCTGTTGGCATGAATACAGCACAGGGGCCTAAACAATGTATCAGTGCAGGTGCATGTATAGGTTCTATTCAAGTAGTTTTCCCCAGGACCTCATGGTCCAGTTATTAATAATGCAATTGTAACAAGAACCACTTCATGGAACACAACGTGTCCAGGTCACTTTATTAAGTGTACAGAATAGCCAAAGTACCGTGATTAGATATGATAGATTCTGCATAATCTTTTCCMATTATTTATTCTGAAKATTTTTTATCATAGTTTCCTTCATTCCTAAACCCCTCCCCTCCGGCAGCTATTTTTGCCTTAACACAGGAATCCCACAGAGTAAAGTTGCCTGCCAAGGTGGCTACAATTGTAGCTCTACTTGTTATGTTTAAACATTTTAGATATTCTAAATTTGAACCTTGATACTTCAGCTTGCTCAGAATAACACTGAAATACATGAATGGTCCTTGTCTGGTGTACCTAATGGATTTGAGATTGGCATCAAACGAGATGATAACACTGGCGGTAATCTATCTGGAAATAAGGTAAAATTCTGTTGTTTTCTGATCACGAATAATAATCTAAGAGCAATGGCCCACCAGCWTCCTGTTTGAGCTTTTTCTTTATGTTTAAAAATGAAAATGCATTGTAATCCCATTGAATGTTGGTGGAACATTGCACTTTATTACAGCATCACAAGAAGACTGCTTGTTGAGYAAACCAAGTGTTTCAATAATATAGTGTTTGTCATAATTATTTCAGGTCCGGAAGTTAGAATTCACTCTAGCTGAGGCTCTTCATCAAGGATGTGATACAGTTTTTACTCTAGGCAGCATATATTCTAATCATTGTCGGTCAACTGCATTAGCTGCACGGCGGTTTGGAATGACATGCTATCTCTTCATGAGACAAAGAGAAACGGTAAGTGCGCATCATGGTAAACGGAAAACCATGTCATATCAACTGGCCGTTTTAGATAGTTTGGTTGATACGAACAAAATGAAGACAAGGTGCAGGGAAAGAACARCAAGAGTCTTTTCTTCCCTTATTTTGTGCCTGTTTATTCAACAACTAGAATATCAAAAGTGGGCTACTGGCTAGGGATTTTTAGTTTGTAACTTTTTGGCAATATCAATTTATTCATCAATCTGTCAGTCAATGAGAAAATGGGTCGAAAAATTGCATTAACAGCATGATCGGAGTTGAACAAAAAAACAAGAAAGTGTTGACATGATACAAACTGCCTCTTAATCAATTGTGTTTCTGAAACAGACCAGTACAGATGTTGGTTGCCTAGGTAACCTTCTATTCGACAGGATCACTGGTACGCACATGATATTGACTGAGTATCAACCATATGACATCGCTATCCATCCTAAAATGAACATGCTGAGAGAAAAACTGGAGTAAGTATCACATCCAGCTGCATAGACTTTCGCAAAGTCCGTTTTTCGCTTGTTCCGTGTCATTGCGGCTCGCCTCTCGCCCTCCTCGCTTGACCATCCCGCTTCACGCTCAATATTCACCCATTACTGGGAGTAAAAGAGAGTCGGACTTGGGCAAGTCTACCAGCTGCGTTTCTTGTACCCCTCCCCCAACAGTTACAGTTTGTACCACCACAGGAAAACCAGAGTCCCTACCATTTTTAAAATGCATGCATTTTGCAAGCTATTATACACGACTTTCAAAAATGRCGCCGACGAATCATGGACACGAGGCCTCAAAGGCCTTCCATCTAGAAATCACTACGAGGATCGCATGTATGTAGTGTCCCAAAGTTTGAATGGTGTTTTGGTATGTTATTTGTAACAAAAACACACTTACATTAAGACACCATCGAAGTTTACTATACGGAGACTGGCCTTTGAGACCTTGTTTTAGTACTTCGTACCCAGTGCTCTGACCGTGACAAATCGCGCCATTTTTTGAAAGGCGTCAATGTTTTGTTGTTTTTAAGGAAAGAGAAGGGGTCCAAGGTGTATGTCATACCAGCTGGGGGATCTTCAAATATTGCAATGTTTTCTTATCTTAATTGCTTCAAGGAGCTTGTTGATCAGGTGCGCATGACAGAAATGTAATTTTTACTAAGTTTCATAATTCCATAATATGAATGTGTGTATGCTAGCATAATAGTCAAATTGATAATTTAGATAAACCATGAATGTTAAAGGTCATGTTAAATGTTGAACATAAGAAAAAGCTCAGAAAAACAATAGATTTGAAAATTAATATTGATGAATAAGAGGAAAGGAAGACGCTCATTATCTTGTCGTTAATTAGGTTTTTT